TAAACAAACTTTTTGTATTAAAAAAGAAAAAAAAATTAAGTGTAAAAGGGAAGGAATAATTTCAAGAAATGGGTAGTCACCAGCATTAAATACCAAAGTGGTTAAGGATAAAAGAGGTAAGGAATGTTAAAAGTTGAAAGACTCAATTATTATTTTCTGGTAAATAGTTTCACTCTCAGTAGCATGAAGCCCTCACATTAAATACCGCTTACTGACTATTAAGAACCTAATGACATTACACCCAATGTGACTGCTTCTGATGACATAAAATTTTACCCAAATAAAACTATGGGAATTGTCAAGCCTTTGGAGCTGGGAGGTCCTTGGAGGGCACAGTCTCCCACCCTTGTGACTACCAGCGATGGAGGAAAGAATCTCTGACAGCCAGGTCCCACCCTGGCCAGGCACAGCCCAAAACCCTGGTCTCCTGACTCCCACTTTGTGCTTGTTCCCCTCCCCCCAACTCCAAAAAATGTTTTGTTTTGTTTTGTTTTTTAAAGATTTTATTTCTTTGTTTGACAGAGAAAGAGCCAGCTAGAGAGGGAACCCAAGCAGGGGGAGTGGGAGAGGAAGAAGCAGCCCCCCCCGCAGAGCAGGGAGCCCGAGTGGGGCTCAATCCCAGGACCCTGGGACCATGACCTGAGCTGAATTAAAAGCAGACGCTTAACGACTGAGCCACCCAGGCGCCCCCCAAACACTGTTTATTAAGCTCATTTTACAGCTATGTATGTTTGTGTGGGTATTCCCTTAAGACTGGATTTTTGAAGTTACAATCAAGAGTTTTGTGCATTTCCCCTTTTTAAATTTTACATTAAAACCAATGTGCTAGGGTCAACACATTTGGGAAATCTTAGTGACTAAAACATGGCTTACTCACAGTTCTGGTGATTTAAACATTCAGATAGTGACTACCCTGTCTCTCTCTCCATTTCAGTTTCACTACCCCTTCTGAAACGTCCATCTTCCTTAACATTAACACTTTATATTAAACACAAATTCTCCATCATTGGCCTTTGTTACAGTCTCCTACTAAAACATTTATAAAAAGAACTTTTTAATGTTTGCCATTCATTATAAGGCCCCCCTACAAAATTATATTAATTTGTGAATTAATGAACTTGCTACTAAAACCTGTAGTCCTATGTAAGGTCCAAGTAAACAAATCCATCAGTCAGCCTGAAGTTAGGCTACGCCTCCCTTGCCTTAGGCAAATATTTACTCTTACAAAGGTTCAAAGATATAATTTGCTGACCTTATGGATCTTCCTCAAGGTTAAAAATAGAGGATTTCAATTTACAGATCAATTTTCACATTGAAATAATGAAGAGAGCACCAATATAAGAGAAACTGCTTCTAAGTGACTTGTTTCTTGGAACTTACAGAGTAACATTATTTTATAATTTAATAAATTTAAATCACTGGTGAATTCTAAATCAAACTGTCTGCCTGAAGAGTCATTATAATCACAGTACTGAGAGGCCATCAGGACATTCAACTGGTACCATAAACACAATGTCAGCTTGTACACATATTCAGATCATTGCACCAGCTTACCAGCAAGGAATTAAGTTGCCCAATGTCAATTTTCCCCTGAAAACAAAAACAAACTCCCTCAAAAATAACAACAAAAACTTCACACATACACAAATATATGTATTTGTGTGTATGTTTCTGTGTGTGTGTGTGTGTGTATGCGCATAAGGAACAATCTAAGGATAAAATAAACTGATAAAGAAATAAACTGCATAAATTTAGGACTGCAATGACTCCTTACATTGCATTCCCAGCTGAGTATTTCTTCTTCAGCTCTGGAAGGGCAGATGGTAGTTAAGGGATGCTTAGGTTTTGGACAAGCCTTTGACAAAATTAAGGTTTTATCTGAATAGTAGCAGACAGCTATGTAATTCCAGGGGTATGTAACTCAAGAGCTAGTTATGCTCCTTTATCTCTAACCTCTCCTTCTGTTTGTAGGCTCCACTCTCTACTGGTTTGGTGTTCAGCTCTGTACCAGCACACCCCACAGAGCCTCAGAGATTTGTAAAAATCTTAAATAGTGAGAAGAACCTCGGAGGAAATCCAATTCAATCTCCTTGGACTCTAAGAATTTCCTAAGTACACAGAGTCTGATTTTTTAAGTTTTAGAATAAGGTTCCTTTTTCTTCTGGGGTTTTGAGACTTTAATAAAATTTATGGGTCTAGAATAATATACCCAAACACAGAAATGCACATTTTGGATAAAATGTCACAGGGCTTGCTTGTCCCTTATTAAAGTACCTCCTCTTCTGATTATGGGCTTCTACATTACAGTTGTTTCCTTATTGGAGCTCTGCAAATCTAATTTAAAAAAATAAGTTATCTAAAGTAAAACAACCTAAAGGCAGAATATGACTTAAGGCAAGACTGCCTGTTGCCCCAGGCTGGATGACAGCTTTAATTTATTTCATTATAACTTCCTTGGAACTTTCTGGGTAACTCCTGTAATATACACTATTGTGAAAAGATTACAGGCCATTCACTCAAACAAACACTCCTGTAATATACACTGTTGTGAAAAGATTAGAGACCATTCACTCAAACAAACAAAGCAGGCACTAAAAGACAACAATCAAAATGGAAAGCAATAATGAAATATTTTTAAAAATCTATATTAAAGAAAGCTTATAATATTACAAGTTCCCCATAAATAAACACATACCTATTTTACTGTACTTTGCTTTACTGCATTTCATAATTAACATTTTTCAAATTGAAGGTTTGTGGCAACACTGAGTCAAGCAAGTCTATTGGTACCATTTTTCCAACAGCATTGGACACTTCATGTCTCTGTCACATTTCAGTAATTCTTGCAGTATTTCAAACATTTTCATTATTATATTCGCTATGGTGATATGATCAATGATTACAACTCGCTGAAAGCTCAGAAAATGGTTGGAATTTTTTTGCAATAAAATATTTTAAATTAAGGAGCCTCGGTGGCTCAGTCTGTTGAGCACCCGACTCTTGGTTTCAGCTCAGGTCATAATCCTGGAGTCCTGGGATTGAGACCCTTGTCCGGCTCTGCGCTCAGGGCAGAGTCGGCTTATCCCTCTCACTCCCTCTCTACTCCTCCCCCTGCTCCTGCTCTCCCTCTCAAAAAAATACATTTTGAATTAAAGTATGTACATTTTTTTAGACATAATGTTATTGAACACTTAACAAACTACAGTATAGTGCAAACATAACTTTTATATGCACTGGAAAACCAAAACATTCATTAGGCTTGCTTTATTGTGATATTTGCTTTATTGCGGTGGTCTGGAACCCAGCCTGCAGTAAGATTAAGCCTGTAAATGGATTTCAAGAAGAGACATTAGTTTTTATTCTTTCCCTCTTTCTCCTTATGATGGGGAACAAGCTGGAACAGTCTACCAACCCCTGCAAGGCAAATTCATCCCCCGCCTTCTCCACATCTAAGTAAAAAGTCTATCACCAAAATTTCTGGTTATATGTCTATTCCAAGGACATGGAACTACAGTTTATTAAACTACAAATAAGGTAATGGGAAATTTTACTTTAGCTTTGCCATTTCTGATGAGAAAAGAAAGACAACTGCAAATGAGATTTAACAGGCAAAACACCAATATTGATGATGTTTGTAGAGCAGCAAGAATACTTCAGATACGGATACTAATCTTTTCTGTTCTAAAGAGTTCTACTATTTGTGTAGAAACACTTGAGCTCCACTGCAGAGAACACCACTGATATCTAAAAGTCCTGTTAGAACTGACAAGAACAGAAAGAAGCACCTCTGGGTAGAAGGAGCACATGATACGAAGGAACAATGGCAGGAGCGAACCCCTTACGCCTGGTAACAACTGAAAGGTGGAACTACCTAAAAGGAGGCTGGAGAGATAGAGCCAGACCCTCTTGGGTTCCACAGGCCACACTGTCACCTGCCTCCAGGTGATTTCCAAACTATTCCCAGATGTGATCATTTTAACAACCAGAAAGTAGTGCCAGTTTTCTGAGAGCTATTTTTTTATTTAATAAAAGTAGGTCATCTGAGCTCTAAGAATGTAAGTTCTGGTTATCGGAGTTCTAAGAATTTAAGTTCGTCCCAAGGAAACCAACTGGCTATTTTTACTTGAGATGACTAAACGCAAAAAAAAAAAAAAAAGCCCAAGCAAAACCAACTTAGGAACATTCTAGGCAGTCTGATTTTTCCTCTGGCAGAAAATGTTCATCGCTGCTTAAAACAGAACATAGTATGTCAGTATGTGCGTGATTGGAAATCCAAAGATGTTCTGATATTTTCACTAAGGTACCTTTACTGCCTAAAGTAAACTAAAACTCAATGAAATTCAGAGAGGGGTAAATCATGCCCTACTTTTGCTACCTGCACGCAAATACAAGCTGTCCTTTTCTCTATGTACTTCGTACACACATATTGCTCATTCAGAGGTAATTCTTTTCCAGTCAATATAAAACACTTGGGAGACAATTTATTGGAACCACCCATCTCAATGCCGTGCGTGGTAACCGAAGACTTCGTCCAACAAATTAAACTGCCCCCCGCGGGCTCGTGCCAGGAAAACCACAGGAACCAGAGAAAGATAAAAAGCACTTGGTAATCTAAATACAGGCACTTTGGGCGATAATGCAGAGTAACAGCTGGGAGAGGAGACGAAGGTCTTAACAGAGGATGGAGTGAAAGAAGTCTGAGCGGTTGACTTGGGTTTCCGAAGCATTTCCTGGACCCGCGCAACACGCTCGGGGGCCCTAGGTCGTCATCGGGGACCCAGCGGGGGTGAGACTCGGGTGGAGAGGCCGCCCGGCGGCGGGAGGTAACGCCCCCCTTTCCAGCCGAGAGAGAAGGAACTAGGGGTGTGGAAACCGCCGCTTCCTGAACAAGCAGGTCGAGGAGAAGCAGCTCGGCAGCCTCCCAAGCCCGCAGGCCGGCGGCTCCGGGGCCAGACCCCCTGTCACCGGGCCCGGCTCGCCCACCCCGGCCGCGGACTTACGAGCTGCAAGACTTTGAGCGCGAGCCGACGCAAATGAAGCCGGCCCAGGGAGAAGCAGGAGGCGAGGCCTCTCCGGGCGCCCCTGCCTGGGCCCGGGTCCTCCTCCGTGGTGGGGCCGTACACCGCTCCATTCTCCATCGCCCAGGAAAGCGGTGGCCGCAGAGGTGGCGCCGCGGACTTCACCCACACCGGGACCACCAACAGGGCCGTCACTTCCTGGGTCTCCGCCCACGCTTCCGCCCCACCCCGCCTCGCCCCGCCCCGCCTCCGCTCTAGCTCCGCCCCCCACCCCCGCGCCTTAGCCACGCCTCAAACTTGCTAAAGATCTGGAGAGAGAATTTCACGCAGAGAGAACAGCATGTCCTAAGGACCGAGAAAGGGAGGAGAGGAGAGGAAGTTGGAGATGTAGGCAGAGTCCACATAACGTAGGCGCCTTGCAGAGCAAGGAAAGAAATTAGGTTTCATTTTGAGGGCAGTGCGTTGTCTGAAAGGACTTTCAGGATTGCTCCCTCCTGCACCTATCTGAATTCCTTTTAGTCTTACTTGTCAAAACCATTTAGTTTACCTGTCTCTTCCTTGTGCACCAACTCCCGCAGTCATATATGTTAATTTTGTGTGAACTTAAGGAAACTCATACTTTTATATTTTATTTTAGCAACTGAAGTTGATTGTGTTACATGTCAGGCACACCTATTTTCTCCTGAACAGTGTAATGTAGGTACTATCATTACTTTCATTTTACAGATGAGCAAACTGAGACGAAGAGGCGGAATATATCCAAGGGCAAACAGCTAAGGGTAGCTGGAATGCAGACCTACACAGTCTGACTCACAACCTTGTTGCTAACATGAACCCAGCAAACCTCAGCCTCTAACCCATCTCTCCATTAGAGCCTCAAAACCCATGGAAGAGAAGAGGGAAGGGGCCACTGCTGCCACCTACTTCCATATTTTTTTAAAATATTTTATTTATTTGTTTGACAGAGAGAGACACAGCGAGAGAGGGAACACAAGCAGGGGGAATGGGAGAGGGAGAAGCAGGCTTCCCGCTGAGCAGGGAGCCCGATGCGGGGCTCGATCCCAGGACTCTGGGACCATGGCCTGAGCCGAAGGCAGACGCTTAAGGACTGAGCCGCCCAGGCGCCCCCACCTACTTCCATATTTAATCTACTCTCCTCCATGGCCTGAAATCTCCCTTTCTTCTTCTGGTAACAGAACAAAAGCTCCTATTCAAATGAATAGAGACAAGTAGATACTACTCTGCGGGGCTGTCTGTACAGCCAGCCCAAACTACCCTCTGTCTTTGACTAAATGCATTCTAAATGTCCTGCCAAGCAGCCACAGGTCCTGTTCAATAAAACGAAGCCACTGTGTTTTCACCAGGGCTCCAAGGACTCACTGCCCTGTTATTCTTCCAGTCACCATAATCCCAAATCAGACATTACGGAGGTCTGAAATTTACTTTGAAATTCATCCAAAAAAGTAAGACAGTAGAGGAGCAGAGAGAAGGATAAAAGAATAAGCTTGTGTTAAAGCAACTGCTGTAACGTGTGGGTGACTACTGTGCTGGTTTCTTAACTCAACTTTTCTGCGTGTTTGAACATTTTCAAGATAAAATACTGAGGGGAAGTTTTGTTTAAAAACTTTGAGCAAGGAGAGAAGATGGACAGCTTCTCACAACCCTCTCGGTTTATTTAAGGTGCACTTGGGCAATGCTCTAGGGGGTCTCTACTTCTCTTTGAATTCAAAAGAGGATAAGAATTCAGCTCATGATTCACAAACTTGGGGATGCCTAAGAATCATCTGGGAGGTTAACTAAAAATAAAGATTCTTGGAGATCTGCCCCAAAGTTTCTGAATTTGGGTGGGTCTTGGGGATATACTTTTGTAACTAGCTCTCCAGAGGATACTGGTGAGAAATCCATGCATATGAAGGAACACTCTTTTATGGTGTGATAAGAATGAAAGCCATTATGAAGGAGACAGCAGATGTACCATAACTTCCTTTGTCCTGATTGATTTAGGGGTATCCAAATCAATTAGACTAAGGCACTAATATTCCTCCCAGTTAAAAACAGCAACAACAACTGTGCATTGCTTAAGTTTTCTTAATAAAAGACCAGCTAAAGAGTTTAGGGCTTCATGAACAAACACTTGTATTAGGGACCCCATTTGATGGGTGCATCCGCTAGGAAAACTGTCATGTTTGTTCATGAATAAACAACACTGAATAGTTACATGCCACAGCAAAATGAGAAATCTTATTTATGGAGAAAAGACATACCAAAGAGAAAAAAGGAAGGCTCATTGAAGTTTTGAAGAATATTCATTTTTCTCCTTCAATATTATATAGTTAATATGTTTTTAAATGAGGAATAGGAAACATTCACAAAAAGTGATAGTTTGGGAAAATATACTTTGATGAGATTTTAGACATTCAAAAAATAATTTGGTGCTACTTTTTTCAGTTGAGATTTTGATTTTTCAGCAGCCCCTACTCAAAAACTTTTACTGGCTTTCTTATCTGTTTTACCACAGTTAGGCAATAACGTGAATACAAAGTTGAATCACAGATGAAGTCCTACAATAAGGCCACAGAAATTTCCATAAAGGACCATGTCATAAAATAGAAAGTGATATTTGCCATAAAAGAGATACAAATTAAATGTGCTGGGAATGCAGAGAGAAATCACTTGCAACTAAAGGATCAGTGTGGTGGAGTTTCAAGCTGGGGGTTAAAGGATACTTAGGTTTGGATATGCAGCAAACAGGATGGAGGATACTGTAGGCAGAGGGGCAATAGAAAGGAAAGCAAAGAAAGTACACACAGGCACAGAGAATGGAAAGAAGGAAGAACAAAGAGGAGTCAAGGAACACAAGCTTGGAGTCAAATATTGGAGGGCCTTAAAAATCAGGCTAAAGAACTGGGGCTTTCCTTTATTGTTGAACAGTGAAGAACCACCAAAAGGTTTTAGGTTAGGGAAGTAAAATGACCAGAGCTCTTCCTTGGGGATGTTTTTCTAGTAGCCTGATGTAGACTGGATAGGTTACAAAGAGCCAGGTAGGGGCTGTTATAAAAGTTCAGGAAAGAGGGAACAGGAGCTTCAACTCAGAAAGTAAGTCATGGAAATAGAGGAGAGAGAATGGCTTGAAGAGAAGCTGTGGGAGGTAAAATCAGTGAGATTTGGAGACCGGTTTGTTTGAAGAGGAAGGAGGCGTTAACCCTTGTCAGTGTCAAAGTATAAATTTCAAAGAATTAAAAAGATGACTCTCATACAAGTATACAGTAAGCATGCTTCAAAGATTTACTTTATTAGTAAAGTCATCAGGAGAAAGTAAAACTGGCTCAGAGGAGGATGTGAGAGACCGGGGTATGTGTGTATCTGCATATCTGCATACATATGGATGGATGTACAGTGTTTAAAAATATACAGTGATAGGGAAAAAATGCTGGAATATGGTTACTAGGTTAGACTCAAAATTGACTAACCTTCTACAAGGACAATAAAATTGTTGCCTTTGTGATGAACTCTAGCAGAGAGAAATCATTTTCACCTCTCTCAGCAAACATCATTTGTGGCTTATCAATCTTCTGTAATTAACACCTAACTGCACAGACTCTGGGTCCAACTGAGTAATAAATAGTAAGTCACATAAAATTATCTTTCAACCAACAATGACCCGTAAGACGGTTTGGTAGATGATGTGTTGCTGGTCCAGGGATTGGCAAACTTTTTCTGTAAAGGGCCAGATAGTAAGTCTTTCGGATTATGAAGGACGTATAAGTCTCTGTCGCAACCACTCAACTCAATCCTGCCGTTATAGAGTGAAAGCAGCCATGAATGATACGGAATTAAATGCCATAATGCCGTCATATTCCAGAAAACTTCATGAAAACAGGCATCGGGCTGGATTTGGCTCATAGTTCGCCAGCTGCGTTCCTGTTCAGTATTTCTCGAACTTGAGTGATCATCATACTCACTGGAGGGCTTGTTAAACCACAGACTTCTGGGCCCCACCTCCACAGTTTTTTCCTTGGTAGATCTTGAGTAGAACCCAAGAATTTACATTTCTAACAAGTTCCCAGGTGATGCCTGATGCTGCTGGTCTAAGACCATACTTTGAGAACACTCCTCTAGTATGACATGGAAAGGGCACTCAATAATCCGTTTGCCTTATTTCCAGGTTTTGGATCATTTATCTTAACAAAAGGAAGATGAAGAACTCTGATTAGGACAGAGGTTTCAGGGCCAGAGGGCATCAAGTAGAGTTTCTGATAAGTCGTTTTAAATATGGATCTAGAGCATTGGAATAAGGCATTTGGGGGATACACATAGAACTGACAGAACCATACAAATGTTAAGGGGAAGCTCCTATAGAAAGAAAAGGAATTTGGCTAGAACTTAGGAGGGAGTGGGAGAGAGAAGGTAAGGAGGAGGCAGAGAAATAAAGGGGTTTTTATAGACAGCAGGAGAACACAGGAAGTGGTGCTACGGAAGGCAAAGAAAAAGTCTTACGTTTTCCTTGCCAACATTTCCAAACATTGCAGAGTGGACAAGGATGCCAGGTATGCAAAGAAAAGTTTGGATCGGAGATCTTCTTGGGATGATAGCTTATCAAGTTCCTCTCCCAACAAAACTAGAATAGAGAGGATAAGCAATCAACTTGGTCGGTCTCCACATTTCATTTATTACCAGCAGAGGGCTGCAAGGGCAAAGGAATGTTAATAATGCTTTTGGTCTACGGTTTCTGCCCTCTGCAGGGAGTTAATTCCACAGTGGTATTTGGCCTGGGGGGCGAGGCGGACACCATGGATCACTTAGCCTGTTTGCTCTCGTTATCAGTTGGGTATTTTTTTTTTTAAGATTTTATTTATTTGTTTATTTATTTGAGAGAAAGAGATCACGAACAGGGGGGAGGGGTAGAGGGAAAAGCAGGCTCCCTACTGAACAGGGATCTCAATGTGGGACTCCATCCCAGGACCCTGGGATTATGACCTGAGCCAAAGGCAGATGCTTAACTGACTGAGCCACCCAGGTGCCCCATCAGTTGGGTATTTTAGTAGAGGACAGTTTGATTAGTTGGGTGACAGATGTGATGAAGAAGGGTAGAAGATTTTGACTGGGGAAAAGAGAAGGTGGGATCCAGTTTGGGATTTGGATTACAGGGAATCCCTGTCATCACAAGGCAACCCTTAACACAAGACTTTCCCTCATAGCCCATAGTGTCATTA